CTCGGGTCCGGGGTGAGTCGGGCTCGGATTCCCGAAGAACGAGCCCGAGTTGACCCTGACCCGAGCTACCCCTGAGGATTCGGGGCTCTGAATGGATCCCTCCGGGGGCCCAGCGGCCCGCCCCGCCCGGGAGCGAGCGGCTGCGCTGCAGCGGCGGCCTGTCGCGCGGTTCCTGGGCGCGCGACAGGGGGGGGGCCGGGCCCCGGGGCCCCGAGCCGGAGCTTCGAGTGCGCGGATGGGCCAGCTCTGGCCTCGGACTGTCCAAGAGGCCTCTGGGGCGCCTCAGGAGGCCTCCGCGCGGCCTCCCGGGAATGCAGATTTTCACGCAGGCTCTTCGCGTGTTCGCCTCTGCCTATAGCTTCCCGACGCTCCAAGGCGGCCAAAAAGGTTTCCAAGATCGCGCCAACGCTGCCCCAACAGGGCCCCAACAACGCTCCAAGGCGGCCCAAAAGGAGGCCTTCAAGAGCGCCCCAACCCACGTCAAGAGCGCCCCGACAGGGCCCCCCCGGAGCCCGGGCGGGGACGCCCTTCCAAATTTTTGTGGCCCACGATCTGGTTGACCCCTTCTGGGCGCCCCCGGGCTCCTCCCCCACGGAGGTCTTCTGACCCGGGCCAATCCAGACCCGGGTCAGCAGGAAACCAAAAACTGCAATGCAGGATCAAAAAACTGCAACGCAGGTCTTCGCAAACCCGGGTCAGCCAACATGTGCGGCCGCCCTCGCTAACCCGGGTCAGCCAGAGGGGGTCTTCGCAGGATCCTGCAAGATCTGGCGCTCTGGCTGACCCCCGTTTGCATTGACCCCCGTCTCAAGGCTCCCGACCCCCGCCGCTCAAGTTGCTCCGGGGGCCGCCAAAATTTGACCCGAGCGGCCTGGCGAGGCCGAAGCGGCAGCATAAGTGCTTCAAAGCGGTGCAAGCGGACCCGCAGGTGCCCCAAGAAGGCTCCGAGATGCGCCTCGAAAGGGCACAGTAGTAGTTTTAGGTCGGGCCTGTCCCCCTACACTGGGATTTGGGACGAAAAATAAAAACCACCCAAAAAAATAATCAAAAGATGTCAAAAAATACACAGAAAATACTCCCCTGACTATTTTTTACTATTTTTGCAAATTCCCCCGTAGAGGGACAGGCCCGATTTAATAGTAGTTCGATTTGGTCATGGGTCGCAGCAGGGCCTCAGGGGATCCTCTGGGGAGGTCCAAGACGGTTCGCGAGGGCACCAAGAGGCCGCCAAGACAGCCCAAGATGGTTCCAGGATGTCTCCAGAACGGCCCAAGAGACTTCCGCGGTGCTCCCAATTAATCCAAAGGTGGCCATAAAGTCTAACGACAGACGTCGGGTGGCTCCAAGGGGTGCAAGAGGAGACAGAGATAAGTCAAATTTGTCAGAATCCACTTCGTCTTGGATGCCAGCTGCATCTGTTGGATTTCGGCTGAAGATGCCTCCAAGAGGGCGCGATGGGCCCGAGGCTGCCCGAGAGGGCCTCCACGACGGGCCAGATGAGCCCCAGGGGGCTCCAAGGGTGTCCCCGAGACGGCCCAGGAAGGCTTCCGGCGAGGCCCCAGACGCCGTCTGGAAGCGCCCCGAAGCCTCCTGCACTGCCTTGATCTTTGACCGCGCTGTGGAGTGCCACGCGCTGCTTTTTGCCCGGCCCCGTGGCCTCGGCGCCCGAGCGCAGGCCCGCCGCCGTGCGACGACGCGCCCTCCTCCTCCTCCTCCTCCTCCTCCTCCTCCTCCTCATCCTCCTCCTCCTCCTCCTCCTCCTCCTCCTCCTCCTCCTCCTCCTCCTCCGATATCCGCGCACCCTAGCCCAGCGCGGCTCGCCCTCGCCTGCACGAGAAAGCAAACACGCCGCCGCGCCCGCCCGGGGACGCGGACCAAAGCATGGCACCCAGCCTGAAGCAGGTCAAACATCTGGCTGAGCGCGTCCGCGAGATGCGGGTCGCCGACGCCCGCGACCGCCGGGCCGCTGATGACGGGCGGCGCCGCCGGTGCAGACGCCAGGCTGGCCGTCGGGCTGGGCGTCGGGCTGGCCGTCGGACTGGGCGTCGCAAGCGCGGTCGGGCTCGGCGTCGGGCTGGGCGTGGCCTGGACGAACTCCCCGGACGCGTCCAACGGGCAGCTCGCTCCAGCTGGCACAGAAAACGTCGCCCGGGAAGGGCCATACCCGTCTGCGCAGTACCGCCTACAGCCAGGGACAGCAACGTCGCCGACGTTGCCGACCATCATGCGCCGGCCGCGCGACTCGAACTCGCAGTGAGCGACGCACTGCGGGTTGCTATACGTCTGCCCTTCCCAGTGCTTCGGAATCCACCCTTCTTTGAAGCCTGGGTAGCCGCTGTCAAAGGCGTGCTCGGCACACTCCTCAATAATCCCACCAGCCCTCTGGGCGTCGGTGGTTTAGGGCGTTTCCTCTTCCACCCCTCCCTCTTCCCCTTCGGGGAGGGGTTTACCCCTCCCCCTACCCCCTCCCCAGTGACCTGGACAGGAGGGGCGGGGAGCGGTCAGAGCGTCCAAAACGGCCTCGGCGAGGAAGCCAAAATCATTGATTTTACTATGGTTTTGGCCCCATTCTGGCCTTCTGAGGGGGCAGCGCTAATTAGAGCTCCCCTCTTCTTTGCTCGATTTCCTCCACGATGGCCGCAAGAGGTCCCCAGGATGACCCAAGAGGCCGCAGGATGGCCCCAAGATGGCCCCAAGAGGCCCCCCAAGAGGCCCCCAGTAGGCCCCCAAGAGACCCCCAAGAGGCCCCAAGAGACCCCCCAGAGGCACCCAAGGTGCTCCCAGAGGCCTTTTTACTATGGTTTGGGCCCCATTTTGGCCTTCTGAGGGGGCAAAAGATGGCCCCAAGAAGCGCCCAGGAGGCCCCCAAAGGCCCCAAGATGGCCCCAAGAGGCCCCAAGAGGCCCCCAGGAGGCCCCAAAGAGAATCCCGAACGGCCCACAGAGGCCCCCCCCGAGGCACCCAAGACGCCGAAAAGCCCATCAGGACGACCCTCTACTCGCCTGGGCGTCGTTTCTGGACGGGCTAGTGGGGATACGCGAAGCGTCTAGAATTCGGATTGTCAGAGAAGGCACAGCAGCTCGTCTTTCCGAGAACCCTCCGCTCACCCACGTTGCACATGGAGTATCATAATAGCCCACCTTCGTAAATGGGGTCGTCGATGAGGCCGCTTCAAAGATAACAGACCCACTCACAGACGCCTGCATGAGTTACATGTCAGCGACCACAGTGAAAGCGAGCGCAATACCGTCGCCAAGATAAGTTTGTGGCAGTAATCAGCGCATGTTCAATTCGACGCGGGAACACGAATCGAGCACCCCGCGAGCCTCGAGCCAAAAATCAGAGGCGGAAAAACCGACCTGGCTTGTTACCCCCCCCGCTTCCAAAGGGGAGCCAAGCAATACCAATTTGCTCGCGGGGAGCGCGAACGTAACCTCAGCGCCAGTAAACGATTTGCATGACCACCGATCTTCCCCAGACTCTAGCGCGCCTCCCGCCCCTTCGCACCGCCGAAAACGAACTCCCAAACGTTGCCATGCACAACGCCAAATATCGAGCCAGACGACTCACTCTCCCAGGCCCTGGGACTGCCAAAAGTCAACACAGTCGACACAGGATGAACATCCGGTCCTCTGGAAGGGGTTCAGACCCATCCCTAGGCGTATTGGAGCGTTCTTGGGCTGAGCTAACTTGGATGTTTTTTGGCATGTCCTGGGACGAGTCTGGAAGCTTCTTGGAGACAAGTTGGAAGACTGGCCTGCACATGGCCTGCCCATGGCCTGCCCGTACCAATGGCACACCCAGATCGGCACAAACATAAACAACTACCATGCTGTTGATGCTGCTCGCCGCGCCAGCCCGCGCCGACCGCGCGAACATGCTGGTCGTGCGGCCCGAACGGTTTCCCAGGCGACGTGGAAAGAATAGTTTGTCTCACACGGTGTTCGAGATGACACCCTTTACGCCCCTTCCCCCTCCTTTGAATGGAGTGGGCGACTTGTTACACAAGGGTGACCAATGTTCCTGCTCGTCTGTAGGGGAGGTGGCATAGGAGTTCTCAGTACCGCAATGATAGCTAAGCTAGTGGTGCCCAGGGTTCTCGTTGCACCAACAACGGCCGCACACAGAAGCGGAAATAGTTGGGCTCCACGAAGGCCCACGGACATTCCCCTTTCCCACTTGCAGAGCAGCCTATGACGGAAGGCCAATGAGGTATCCTGTTCTCCGCCAGGACGGAACGGCCGAACGCGGTCATACCGTTTCGTTCCTTAGCCGAGGTTGGGAAGGACCCTTGAGCCAAAATGGCTGCGGATCCTCCTCCTCCTCCTCCTCCTCCTCCTCCTCCTCCTCCTCCTCCTCTGTCCCCCTCCTCCTCTTCCTCCTCCTCCTCTTCCTCCTCCGTTTCCACTCCTCCTCCTCCACCTCCTCCTCTTCCTCCTCATCCGTCCCCCTCCTCCACCAGATCCTCCTCCTCCTCCTCCTCCACCTCCATATTCGTCTCCTCCTCATCCTCCTCCTCCTCATAATCCTCCTCCACCTACTCCTACTCCTACTCCTACTCCTATAGCTACTCCTCCACCGCCTCCTGTTTCTCCTCCTCCTTCTTCCCCTCCTCCGCCTCCTCCTCCTCCTCCTCTCCTCCTCATCCTCCTGCTTATCCTCCTCCTCCTCCTGCTTATCCTCCTCTTCCTCCTCCTCTCCTCCTCCTCCTCCTCCTCCTCTCTCCTCTTCTCCTCTCCTCCTCCTCCTCCTCCCTCCTCCTCCTCCTCCTCCTCCACCGCCTCCTATTCCTCCTCCTCCTCCTGTTTCTCCTCCTCCTCCTCCTCCTCCTCCTCCTCCTCCTCCTCCTCCTCCTCCTATTCCTCCACCTCCTCCTACTCCTCCTCCTCCTCCTCCTCCTCCTCCTCTCCTCCCTCCTCCTCCTCCTCCTCTCCTCCTCCTCCTCCTCCTCCTCCTCCCCCTCCTCTCTCCTCCATCCTTCCGCCTCCTGGTCGGGGTTCCTCCTTCGTGGACGAGCGCGCCCTGCTGCGCGCACGAGACCTGGCGGCGACCTGCTCGGGGGCAAGGGGGGGGCAGGAGGACAAGGCGCCAGGGGCTTCAAGGCACCAGGGCCACGAACGATGTATACGTGAGAGCTTGTCGCCTAAAAACCGATCGGCTATAGTCAGAACTAGACCACAGGAAACCCATGGCAAGAAACACAACCCTGCGACTCGCCCAAGTGTCCAGGACCAATATTAGGTGTCTTGCTCAGCGGCTGTCAGCGAGGAAACTCCGGGTACCCTGGGCCAGGCGGTCTATTCATGGCTCGCGCTCAACATCTCAGCGTCAGGCTCGCGCTCAACATCTCAGCGTCAAGACAGTCAGTGTACCGCGCCAGCTGCGGTTTCTTCGCGACAGCTGCAAGCCTTCAATCGAAACACATATGGTGTGTCTTCGCACGTGTCCCCGCTGCACGCGAAGCAACCCTCGCAACGAAGATGGACGAAGCCTGGACAAAGGGTCGAGGCGCGGCGGGTCGAGCGCGACGACTCGTCGAGCAGGCAGCTCACGAGCGAGCTACCACAGGCGAAGCCGATAGCAGGCATCGCCCCCAGAGGTGCGATGGCGGGGGTGTCCGGACCACTGGCCAAGGATGGGTTCCCCACCAGCCTCATGGGCCCCCAGGCAGATGGCGTCGCTACTGGACATCATGCCCAATCACTGAGCCCACAGGCGGGACCGAATCGCGCTGGCCCGGGCCCTGAAACCACACGCACGGCGGAATGCAAGGATGCCGGCAGCATAAGCAGAAGTGGTGACCGCGAGCGGGAGCAAGCCCAAAGGGACCATGAGCAGATGTCGGGGGCGTCCGGGCGGGGGGGCGTCCAAGAGAAGGCTTCGCCAACCATGGCCCGAGGCACGTGGGCGGCCCAGGGGCGGCCGCAGGACGCAATGAGAGAAGAGGAAAACGCCACGGAATCTGGCTGGGGAGGTGTCATGGCCCCGGCCATGATAATATGCACACACACCCTAGTTGTCATCCCCCTCTTGGCCGCCCCCAGAGGCGGCGGGCGGTCGGGGAGGAAGTTGCGGGCCGTGCCACGGCGGGACCCCCTTGCCCTGCCATCGCTCGGACGTCCATTCCCCGTGTATTTTTCGATTTCGTGCGTGCGTCTTTCGCGAAGTCATCCAGGATGCTCCTCCATGGCCCTCGACGAGGAAAAATTGCACACGGCCGAGCGATGCCAAGTTGCCCGAGCCGGTCCGAGGCCCCCGCCCGAGTGGCCCCCGCCCGAGTGGCCTCCTGCGAGCCCGCGCCTCGGGGCAAGAGGGGGGGCGAGAGGGGCAGCGACGCGCGGGGGCGCGGGCCCGTCGAGGGGGAGGGAGGGCGAAGGGAGGGGAGGAAGGAAGGGAGGAAGGGAGGAAGGGAGGAAGGGAGGAAGGGGAGGAAGGGAGGGAGGACGGGAGGAAGGGCAGAAGGGCAGAGGGGGCGAGGGAGGGGAGGGAGGTAGGAAGGGAGGACGGTGCGAGGCTATCGTGCCCGTGTCGGCAATCAGTGGGAGATTGGGGGTCGACGCCTCCCCCCAGCGTCGCCCATCCTCCCGTGTCGTTGCCCCTGAGCGTCCCCCAGGAGGGCCGAGGCGGACACCGCCAGGACGGGGGGGGGGAAGGCCTGCACCAGCGCGGGGGCGGCGGACAGGTGCTGCAGGTCCCTGCTGAGGAAGGAGGCCATGTCCATGCTTTCCTGCCCACCCCCGCTCAGCCCCCCCTCCCCCCCCCTCCATCGGTTCCTCGCTCCCCTCCTCCTGCTCCCTGGTCGTCGTCGTCCTCCTCCTCCTCCTCCTCCTCCTCCTCCTCCTCCTCCTCCTCCTCCTCCTCCTCCTCCTCATCATCATCATCATCATCATCCGCCTCCGCCTCCTCCTCCTCCATCCATCAATCCGTCCATCCATCCATCCATCACATCCTTCCCCCCTCCCCCACCGTCCCTCCTCCTGCTGCCGCTGCTGCTCCCGCTTCCCCTTCTTCAGCCTCATCCTGCTGCTCCTCCTGCTGCTGCTCCTCCTCATCCCTCCTCCTCCTCCCCGTTCTCCTCCATTCCTGTCGCACCCCGACCTCCTCCGCCTGTACTCTGTACTCAATGGAAGCGGCCGTCGAGTGCCAGCCGCCCCAAACACAAAACACACTCACCCAGTAACGTGTGACTGCGGAGCGGGTGTCACCAGGCCATACCTAGAGAGGAGCTGGGCAGGGCTCCACCTTTCCTCCCACAGGCCAGGATCAGCAGCGGCATGATCGTTGTCATCAGCTCGCCTGACCTGGATCCCTCTGTGCGCAGCCCTGAGGAAGGCCAGCAGGTCCAGGGGGGACGGGGAACCATGCCCAGCAACAGTCCACCCTGCATAATGCTTCGCCCACGAGGGAAACTCACCACGCAGAAACCTCGACCTTTGTCGTTTGAGGTCCTTCGTCCTCGGCTGGCCGACACACTTGCCAGCAAGGGACATGACCCCAGACCATGCATAACCTCCACACTTCAAGCAGCAGATCACCCACCCGCCCCCAGCCGCCCTCCCGCCGCCCCTGACAAAAACCTTTGCTTTGCAAAGGTTGTGGCCCTGCAGTCCGGACAGGAGGGTGGTCTCGCATAAGACCTCATCTGTTAGGCCTTCGGCCGTATCAGAGAGCAGGGGCACCTTGAAATCAACACGCGGTGCCCACCTCCTACGTCCTTCCTTGCAAAGACGTGCAAACTGCCTGGCAGATGATGATTTGGACGGCTGCATCTGGGGCTCGCACACGTTGCTTCCTCTCACCTCAACGGGCTCAGGGAAGCCAGACGAGTCCTCCCAACCTCTGTCAGCCATCATGACATATTGCGTGGCACCCCATCTGAGCAGCTCCTTCTGGTGCTCAACCAGCACAGAACGGATTTCCAGGAGCTGCTCAGGCATGGGGTGGCACACAGCTCCAAGCTTAGCAAATCTGTCGGCATGCTTATTGCCAAGACGCTCAGTTTCCGTGCAGCACCCATTAAGCACGTCACCTACGCTAGCATGTCCCTTTACTTTAAACGCAGACAGCCCATTCTCAAAAACATGCCAAACCTTGGTCCAGAGATGGGCCCGAGGGTTCTGGGAAGAGCAGCTACTGGCCCTGTCCCAGACACAGCCGAGGGTCCCCTGGCAGTCAGTGAAAAACGTATTATCCGAAAACGGTTCAACCAGCTCTGACGCCATTATGTAGGCGTAGTCCTCACCGTCACGGGCCTGTTGCCACGGGGCCTCCTCTCGAGGCACAGGCCCGTAGGCCGCCGAAATCACATCACCGAAATCATTGGTTTGAACCAAACTCCACCCAGCTCTGCGGATATCTTCGCATGGGGGCCTGATCGCAGAGCCATCAGTGAAAATTCTACCGCTGAGCCTACCTGAGGCCGGCCTGTTGAACCAGAAAACTCTACACGCAGACAGGGAGAGAGGAGGAGGGATCAGCTCTCGTGGATGAGGAAGCACCCCAGCAGCATATTTCTCCAGATCCTGACCCCAATCCTTAGCCCTTCTCGCAGCCTCCGAACATGCGGCAGGTACGTATTGACGTCTATATCCGTCAAAAGCTTCACACTCGAACCTCCTATGAAAAAGAGTACCCTTGCTGGCGTGGCACAGCTGGCAGATGTCGTCATCGGCCAGCCCATGGTCCTTAAGGCGAGCCTGAGTCCAGGTACCTAACGCGAACGAATGTCTCATACACGCTTGGTGGTGTTGTCCCCAGACATGCTTACTCCCAAGCTTCAGGAGGTCTCTGGCCCCTTCCCACAGAACAGGTCTGCACCAGACCCCGCTGAGCTTAGGCCTGAGAAGGAGAGCACGTTTGTCTGCCCAGTGTCCTGCATCACGCTGCGCAAGACTGCTGACCATAACAGGCGATAGAGAGAGCAGGTCAACCACTTCACCTTGAGAAGTCGAGACCTGCCTTGCAGAGGTAGGCGTCCAACCTAGCTCTCGCAGAGTGAGCAAGTATAGATGTGCTGGGCTGTTACAGATATTCCAAGGTCTCTTGACCTGCCAGAGGTCGTCCACAGCTTTCTCAAATACCAACTGCATAACATCCAGTCCAGGAGACCCATCCCAAATCGCCCTACACTGTAAAACAACATTTGCATGGTAAATAACGGATGGGTCCACACGGGCTCCCACAGGGTGTAGCCTGAGCCTGAGCGACATGAGGGCCCCCGACTTGTCCTGAGCGACATGAGTGCGCATGCGCGGCCTTGCCAGCCTTAGCAGACACGGCATCCTGGGCCCAATCCTTCCAGTCCGACCATCTCTTTGCCGCGTGATCTCTGAGCAACTTCTCATAGGTCATCTTACAAGCAGTCCCCAGGTAGCCGATCTCTATACCCCCAGAGTCCTCGATCCTGCGAATCAACGCAGGAAGGCTAGGGGCCAGGCATAGGAACTTGGCGCCAAGCTTGTCCAAGCTCAGGCCCATGATGGACGCACGCCACGAAGGCCACAAAGCAGACCCCTCCAGGTTCTCTGCACATGCTGCGGCCTTGACAAGAAGTGCATCAAGAGCTCGCCAGGCACGAAGGCGAGGAGTACTATGAGCAAACCACTTACCTTTCAAGACAGTATCCAGGGAAACCTGCTTCCTCCTGAAACCATTGGCCCCTCCAGTGTACTCCCCCATATCCCCCCCCCCCCCCCCCCCCGCGATGTCAAAGATATGGCACAGTTCCCTTTCAACATTCTGAACCCATTGGTCCCAAACGACTTCCAGATCCAGGCCCCCCGTGCCCCCAACGTTCCAGGCCCAAGGCAACGGAAGAGGCTCACGGAGACATCCCGTCTGAGGCTTTGTTGGGAATTCCTTCCACTTTACTCTGACATGTACTGGTATCGCAAGGCTTACTCCACGTAGAGTAAGTTCAACTGGGGAGTGCGGCGAGCAGGGCGCCTCACTCCATACCTTAATGGAGTCTAAACAGGAGGGCAGACCAGCAGACACAATAAAAAAATCATATTCCTGTCCAGATCCCGCAGCACAAGTCTTCTTCCCAGGAGAGATCACTGTAGCCCCAAGCCTGTGACACCATTCATCCAGCCCAGACGTCCCAGGATTCACGTTGGCATCGCAGCCAATCACCCAAGGGAGAGCCAGAGAACTGAGGTACTTCCCCAGAGCCGCCATCAAGGGTAGGTTGTCACCCTGGACCCCCTGCGAGTGATAAAAATACACAGACATCCAGATAATCCCACCTGGCAGGACCCCATCGACATGTCTGGCAATGCTCCTGCCCCGCGTCTCAGGCACGGCATAGACCTCATCCAGCTGCAACGTGCGCCGGCAGATGTAGGAGAGGCCTCCAGCCAAACCACCTGCCGAAGTAGATAAAAATAGACGCACCTGTGCAGACTGCTGGGCAAAAATCGGCATTGAGACCTCTTGCACGTAGGGACCCAGAGTATTGATTTATCTTCTGCAGCTCTGAAACCCTCGTCTCTTGCGCCGCCCAAAACTGAGGCTTCGGACCTTGGGCCTCCTCCATCCCCCACTCCACGATCAGCTCCCAGGAAGACCAGGTATTCGCATTACAGGAAAAGAATACCCACTCATTCCGTTTTCCTTTGGCTTTCCCATCCCTAGGAGCCCTACGATCAGGAGCAGCAGCGGGGGCGGAGCCAGGAGCCTGTACACTAGGCTCACCTTCCTGCTGCTGAGCCGCACCAGCAGCACGCCGCACTCCATCAGGTGCCTGGCCCTCACGCCGTGGAACATCATCCTCACGAGGCGGGACCTCCAGCTCCTGACTGCCGGGGAGACAACCTGCTTCCCCCAGAGTAGATGCGCGGGCGTGGTAAGCATGGCCACTATCGTCCTGAAACCAATTGGATCGATCACCTTGTCGAGCGCAACGTGGGTACGAGATAGCAGCGGATGTCGTCCGCGCTGCAGCGGCCGTACTCAATCCAGAGCTGGTAGCCGCTGCCGATGACAACGCTGCAGTAGTTGCAGGGGTTGACCAACTCCTCCAACCATACTCTGGGGCCTCCCTGATGTCCTGGAAAATACGATGGTGCTGTACCGCAGGCACCGCAGATCCCAGATCAGGCCAGTTAACATCAATCACATTGTCCTGCCAGAAATCACCGCTGCAGTCATGCACCGTACTGACTGGACCAGCCCCAAAAATATTAAACACGAACCCGCTTCATGCGGATAGAGGCAAGCTGTTCATGTAGCACTCGCTTTGCCGCTGCAATCTGACGCGCTGCTTCTTCATTGCTGGCATCACCTTCCGCAGCCCGTTTGGCTTCAATGAGAGCCTCGCCTGCAGCAGCAAGGTCGATCTCGGCTTGGTCATCGAGCTCCATATCATCATCATCAGCCCCAGCACGAACATGCTCACCACCGCCAGCTGCGACCCCAGCCTGGCTCTGGGACGTCTTGATGAACACGGCCTGGGCCTCGAGCAGCTGCCGCAGGGTGTCCAAGTGTTTGCCTCCAGCTTCGTCTGCACGGAGACTGCTGAACCAGTCCTTGAACTCCTGGCTGGCGGAGGCAAACTGCGGCCCCCCCATCTTGAGGATCTGATCGCCGTCCTGCGCGAGGCCCTTCGCGTATGCTTCACGAGCTTCTTGCTGGAAGACCTCTGCTTGCCTCCTGGCCTCGTCCAAGGCCATCTGCGCATCCTCCAGCTGCTTGTCCAGGTCCTCCTTAGCCTTCTCGACTTCCTGGCGCTTCTCCACCAAGTTCGTCTCGAGCGTGGCAACAGTCTCCTTCGCCCTAGCAAGGCGAGTATTGACGGACATCTGCTGGACATGCAATGGCTTGGTTTCTTGAAGCGCCTTCTGAAACCGCTCGACTTGAGCCTCGGCCAGAACACGGTCTTCCTCGTGAGTCGCAAATCGTGCCGTTTCTTGCCAGTGGCCCAGCCTCTCCTTGATGTCTTTGGCTTCTTTGCCGTCCTCAGCATCACTACCCCACGGAGGAGGCTTGGATTCAGCAGGTTTGCCCCCTTCTCGATCGAGTCGGGCCTCTTGAGGATGGAGCCCAGCGCCTCCTGCAACTGCGGAGCACCCTGAGACCATTTACCTTTCGGCAACTGCTGCTTCGAGCCACCTGCGACAGCCTTCTCATGTGCTTTCTTAGCTGCTCTCGATACCTCAACGGGCGCAGGGCAGCCGCATGCACACTTGATCCGAGACGCCCAGTTCCCTTTGCGGTGGCACTTCGTGCAACTCCACAGTGGCTTTCGAGGTCCGAGGAGAACATCCTTCGAAGCAGCCCCATTCGACATCGCACTGCCACTCGAAAGAGAACAAAGAGACTTGCTCCAACAGGAGCTCACACAAAAGCGTAAAAACCTCGTCTGACCAGGCGCACGAGGGGCACTGTGGGGGCCGCTGCTCCCCCTTACCAGTGAGGTCAGGTCCTGTGCCAAAACGGCTCCGGACTTGAGCCAAAATGGCTACGGAGACCTCCTCCGCCTGCCCGTCCTCCTCCTCCTCCTCATCCCTCCTCCTCCCCGTCCTCCTCCCCCTCCTCCCCGTCCTCCCCGTCCTCCCCGTCCTCTCCTCATCCTCCTCCTCCCCATCCTCCTCCTCCCTGAAACAAATGCAAGAGCTTCACGGATTGAAGGCGGCTCCGCGCACATTCGTCTCGAAAAGATTTCAAAAGTTTCACGGGCGCCCATGATCGGCGTACCAGAAATTGGTTTTTGGAAGGATTCAGGGTTACGTGGGTGCAACAGATATATACATTGTTTCGCGGTGATGAAGTCCGAATAGTGGCGTTCTGGCACGATTCAGGATAGTCAAGACGCAACACTGAAGTTGATCCGTGACGTTGAAATCCCGAGAACGATGTTTTGGCATGCTTCAGGGTCTTCAAACGGTTGTCGTCCGACGAGGAAGCTCCCTCAGTGGAGCTGACCCGCTGTATGTGCCCAAAATCGTTGACCATAGTTGCGTCTACACTGGTCCTCCTCCTCCTCCTCCTCCTCCTTCTCCTCCTCCTCCTCCTCCTCCTCCTCATCGTCAGCATCATCAGCATCATCATCATCATCATCATCATCATCATCATCATCATCAGCATCATCACCAACACCACCACTACCATCATCAGCATCGTCAGCATCAACATCGGCATCAGCATCAGTATCAGCTTCAGCATCATCAGCATCATCAGAATCGGCATCATCAACATCATCAGCAGCATCATCACCGTCACCATCGACATCGTCATCATCACCACCATCAGCATCAGCATCAGCATCATCAGCAGCATCACCATCATCATCATCATCACCATCATCACCACCATCAGCATCAGCATCAGCAGCATCATCATCACCATCAGCATCACCATCATCAGCAGCAGAGTCATCATCGTTAGCATCATCAGTGACATCATCAACATAAACAACAACAGCATCATCAGCATCATCAGCATTATCAACATCGTCATCAGCATCATCAACATCATCAGCAGCAGCATCATCATAATCAGCATCATCAGCAGCAGCATCATCAGCATCAGTATCAGCATCGTCATCATCAGCATCATCAGCACCATGCTCATCATCATCAGCAGCATCATCACCAACACCATCGGCGTAATCCACAATATCATGCTCCGCATGGTTCCTCATCACTCCCGTCATCATCAGCATCCTCATCATCACCATCATCAGCATCACCATCATCAGTATCGTCCTCCTCTATAATAGTCATGATTACCATCATCAACCACATCACTATCCTCAACAGCATCAGCCTCATCTTCATATCCTTTATCATCAGCAGCAGCATCACCTTTACTTTCGCCTTCTCCTTGATCGTCACAATCATCAGCAGCAGAAGCATTATCAGCGGCAGTGTCATCATCCTCGTCCTCCTCATCCTGAGCATCAGCATCGCAACCACCATCATCATCATCATCGTCATCATCATCATCAGCATCATCAGCATCATCATCATGAACAGAGTCAGCATCATGAACAGTATCGTCATTATCATACGCAAAACTATCATCGTCAACATCCTCAACATCATCATCATCCTCATCCTCATCCACATCATCATCCTGATCCTCGTTCTCCTCGTCATCATCCTCAGTATCCTCGTCATCGTCATCAGTATCATCAGCATCATCATGATTAGAAATATAATCGTCATCATCATCAGCAGAAGCAGCAGAATCAGAATCATCAGTATCATCATTAGTATCATCATTATTATCGTCCTCGTCAACATCATTCACCTGCTCCCTCATACTCTCATCCTCGCATCCTCCGCTCCCTGATCCACCTTCTCCTCATCCTACCTAATCATATCATGTCCTTGTCCTCGTCCTCGTCTTCGCTTTTCTCTTCCTCCCCTCCTCGCCTCGAGGCGCGTCGGCTCAGGCACGCGCGCGCCTGCAGTGGCGCGCTCTCGCCGTCGGCTGCCGCCCCAACGCGTAATGCCGACTCGGTGAGGGTGAGTCGCTGCGGCTTGAGGTCTATCGCTGTGGCAAGGGGGCAAGACGGAGTGAAAAATCTGGAAATCGCAAATTTGCACAGGTCCGCCACTTCCCTCCTGTCTCCCACCACCTCCTCTGATCGTTTTCCTCCTTCTTGGGAGGTGGGCGGGGGAGGAACAAGGTGGATCTGCACAGTTGACCTCCTCCGAAAAAGGGTGGTGAATGACCTCTGACCTGACCGTAGAGGTCGAGTCGCCAGCGTCGGCTTTTTGGGATACAATGCTGACACGCTGGACTGGGACATCCACGCTGTATGGAGACGGCGGCAAGGAAAAAGCGCTGCACTGCAACATTCCATGAATGAGCCCGGGCAGAAGCCCTGGAAGACTGCAAAACCCCGATGGACCAGGACGAAGACCCGAATCCTGCGGGGCAGCCCAAAGAAATGCACGGGACGACCAAGCCTGACTTTGCAGGAGACGGGAGTCGTTTCCCCCACTTGCCAATTTCCTGATTAGTCTTTGTCCTAGTCTCGGGGGCCTGAACCTCAATGCCCAGCGTCTTTCTGCAGCCACTGGCGGCTGTGGAGAGGACGGGGTGCAAGGACAGGCACACCACGGGCCAGAAGTCGGGCGTGCCAAGAGCCGATCGTCTCTTCGTCGGAGATGTAGGTGGTAGTATTTCGGCCATCTGGCGTTGGTGGTAGAATCTGACTGACCCCCGTTTGCATGGACCCCCGTCTCTTGAGCCCCGACCCCCCTGCCTGGACCCCTCCCGGGGTCAATCCTTGGAGACCTGGAAGTGGGCACCAACACCAACACAGGCGGCTGCCTCCACCAGGGGAAGATGATCCTAGATTATGGCGTCGGTTGTAGTATTTCGGCCATCTGGGAAACCTGAACTTGCCACCATCACCGAGATCGGCATCACCTTCCCTCGGTGGAAGCACCCCCCCGATATTGGTGCTGGTGCTCACCTCCAGGCCTGCGACCTCCGCACACGCTGTTTGAGGTGTGCACCCGCCGCGGGGGCGCGGAGCCTCCAGGAGGGGGCCCGGAAAAGGGCGGAAAGACATCGCGGGGGGGGGGGGGCCGCTGCCTCGACTGGCTCTCTCCCTCGACGGGTGCACTCCATGAGGGCGGCCCGTGCGCGCCGCGGCGGCGGAGGCGGAGGCGGAGGCGGAGGAGGCGGAGGCGGAGGCGGAGGCGGAGGCGGCGGAGGCGAAGGCGGAGGCGGAGGCGGAGGAGGCCGAGGCGGAGGCGGAGGAGGTCGAGGCGGAGGGGGAGGCGGCCGAGGCGCGGAGGCGGAGGCGGAGGCGGAGGCGGCGGCGGAGGCGGAGGCGGACCCTCCCCGCCAGCATCTTGATCGGCATCTTGACGAGGTTGACGATCTCGTGACGCTTGGGGTCCTGTGCTCCGCGCCGCCCGGCTGCGGGCGCGGGCGCCCCTGCTGCGGAGGAGGGCGTGGGGGGGGGGGGGAATGCAGGGGGCCAAAGTGTCAGAGGGGAGCTGTGTAGGAAAGTGAAGCTGCGTAGGAGGAGCTGTGTAGTAGGAGAGTGGAGCTGCCAAAGAGTCAGAGGGGAGCTGTGCAGGAGGAAAGTGGGGCATGCTCCCTCGCGCTAAAGGCGAGACGGCACCGCACGTCGGCGGAGCCGTTGGCAAGGGGGCCCCCGCGCGCGACGGCCGCGCCACACGACCCGCACAGGCGGTACCGACTCGACATGGCAACTGCCCTCACAGCATCACGCTTCGTTTCCTCCTCCTCCTCCTCCTCCTCCTCCTCCTCCTCCTCCTCCTCCTCCTCCTCCTCCTCCTCCCTTTTCTCCTCCTCCTCCTCCTCCTGCTCCAGGAGTTTTCTCCTGGCATGGGTGGGGGGGCGACGGCGACAGAGAGGGAAACCGAGGCGCACGGCGACCCGAATGCCAATCCCCAGCACTGCGGGGCTGTCGACTTCGGGCCCAGACTCGAGGATCAATCCATAAATCATGGGGGGGGTCGCGCGTCCTCGATGGGGCTGCGTCCGGATAGCCCCCCAGGGGTGTACCCCCGAGATCCCCCGCTTTTTTGGCCCGCCAGCTTTTTGGGGGGATAACGTTAGAGATGACGAGGGAAAACAATCGCATGCGAAGGACAGGGGCTGGGGAAGGCGATGAGAACCGAACCCGACGTTACGATTTCCTAGCAGAGGGGACCCCTAAAGTCTCGACCCCTTCCAACAAACTGTTTTTTTTATCACGAGCCTTCTTTGCTGACGGTCCCAGGCCACGCGAGGGCCCCCAGGAACCAAAAAAATGTAGCACCAAAAACAACGAAATGCAGTGCTCTCGCTTCACGACGCGAAGAATTCCAAAGATGGAGGCAAAAAAGGGGGATACGGAGGGAAGGGCTCTCCATTCCGACTGAAGTTTGACAGCCCCCAGACCCGAACGAGGCCAAACAAGGCACTAGGTTCCCCCTTGTAGTGTTTCTCCTCCTCCCTTCGTCCATCCACACTTCATTTCGCATCGTATGCGGCAGGAGGTAAATCGTGGCCGAGGGGCAAATCCTTTTAAACACTATGAATCCGCACCGAGCAGGGCGACGAGTGACAGTGGGCGGAAGTCCGCTTATACATACACATACATATATGTTGAAGTACAATCAAGCAAGAAGGGAGAAACAAAAAAGGAACGAAAATAGCACGGCCCTGCTACATCAGAGGAACTGAAAATTCCTTGAAATACAGCTCTTTCGGTACTTGATCAACCGAGGGCCAGGACGTGACTTGACGGGGTGGGTTGGACTTGTTCCCACCCTATGTTGTGTATGAACGGGTCAGGACAGTGGCCACCCTGGTCACATCATCACGCTGGTACTAATCATGATGGTACTGAATGTGATCACCGTCATCTCCTCGACGGTCGCCACAACGCAGCCCTGATGCGGATACCCGAATATACGCCCCGGGCCCCAAGAGAGCCCCAAGAGGGCCCCCAGAAAACGACCGCAAAGGTCTTGATATTGACTCCTGTCGTCGCAACAACCGCCGCCGCCGTCGTCGTCGTCGTCGTCGTCGTCGCCGTTGCCAGGCCTCAGGGTTAACTCTTGGAGCCGCCTTGGCAATCACTCACGGAGCACATGCACTCACGCACGCAGGACGCACTACACGCACCGATACATTTGAACCGCAGGCGCGGAACAACAAGCGCACCAAGCATCGCACGCACAAGCAGCAACAACAAACAACAGACAACCACCCAACCATGGCAGCCACAGGCAACCACGAGACACACGCAATCCTGGGGCAAACAAAGTTCACTGCCGTGCCGCATGCTGCTCACACAAGCCTGCTCTGGGATGGGCTGGCGGGGATACTTTTGTCGCGGCTGCGGCGAGCGCGCCAGCAGCATCGGTAGAGTCGCACGGGCCGCGAGCGCCCTACTTGCCGGCGCGCGCGCCGAGCAAGCAAGCACACCTACCGCCGGGGGGAGCTGCGCTGGGGCTGGGCTGCGCCGAGGGGTGGACGCTGCCAGATGCGGAGGCGGCTGGGAAGTTGCAACGCGCGAGTACCGTGGAAGCGAGATCACCAGGCACGGGAAGTAATCCTTGTCGCCACAGGGCGCCAGAGGACGGGGAGGCAGACCGCCAGGGGGGGCGCCAGGCTGAACAAGTGCAAGATACGGCGGCCCATAACCCAGCGGGCCAGCTGACGACCAGAGCCAGGGAAGTGCGAGCACTGCCTGGACTGGTCAAAACGCACGAGACCTGAACCGCAGGGCACACTCGGTACCAGGGAACAGCGAGAGAGCCGGAGGCCAGGTGACGGACGCCCTCACCGAGGCTGAGGGGGACGGAGCCCAACGCCAGTGGCGGGGTGGGAGCCAGGCACGGCCAAGCCGGCGGTGTCTGGGGCAAGCACAAGCGCCACTGGACAAGACGCGTGAGTCGAGGACGTCACGGAATGGCCAGAGCCAGGGAAACCACGCCAGGCCGTGGCGGGGCCCGGGCAGAGACCAGAGTGAAACCAGCTCTGTACCGGCCAGGGCCGCAAGGCACGTCGCGCCCCGCCCCAGCGGATACAGCGTGCCCAGCATTGACGGCGACCGGGGGCCAGCACTCCATTGGCGGGGACGCCGAACCAGGAGCCGGGCAGGGGCCAACACGGAGCGACCCAGGACCAGCAGCGGGGAACTGAACAGCGCTGCAGCGGTGAGCGGGAAGGCCAGGGGGGGCCGACGCCGTGGGACCGAGCCAGGCCATGGCCAGTTCCAGGCAAAGGCCGAAGTGAAACTACAGCAGCGGCCATGGCCGATGGGACGCCCTTCCAGCCCCAGCGGGACCCGCGAGCCCGGTATTGACGGCGCCTGGAGGACGGTTCCCAAATGCGAGGAGGCCCAGCCAGGTGCCGCGAACGCCGTCACCGAACGACGCTTGGCTAGCAGCGGGGATCGAGGGCCACTGCAGCCAGGTGTGGTGAAAGCCAGTGAGGGACGCCTCCAGCCGCGGGCTATACTGCGCTGGGAGCACTGCCAGGGAAGCGACTAACGGCCACGCTGCCTGTGATGCGGGCGACAGCCGTCGAAGGCAGCACGTTCCAACCAAGTAACTGACTCGCCAAGCATGTGGGGAATCCACCAGGCCGCGGTCGAGTCATTGCGCTGGGACACTGCCAGGAACGACTAACGGTCGCACAGTCGGAGACTGTCAGCGCGCATCGGAGAGCACCGAGCTGGGGCACCCCCCCCGCACGACGAACGGTCGCACTGCCATCGGGTGTTGGACAGCGCCGAGCAAGGGCACCCCCTCCGTCACGAGCACAATCGAAGGCGAGCGGCACCCGCGGGGAAAGCGCAGCGGGCAGAATTTCGACGAAGGCCCGGCCGAGGCAACCAGAGTTCCCCAGGACACGGAGACGCAGCGGGCGAGACATAGCGCGGGGGCAGCTGCCAGGGGCGACAAACGTGAAGGGGCCCCAGGACACACAAATAAATACACACAAATAAAAATATTCCCCATATTTCCACATATTTTCTGGGTTTTTGTCTTCCCCCCCCACTTCCCATATTTTCCCATATTTTCTGGGGAATCGAGGATTAATTGTGTCTGTGTGTTTCTTTTCCTCCTGAAAACGGTCGCACACTTGGTGAATGAGGAGCCGAATGAGCACCCGCCCGCCGGTCTCCAGGAGGGGGAGGGGGCGACAGGCCGCGGTAGACGACCACGCGTTCCCCCCCCTGAAGACTGCTGCAGTTGACGGCCGCACTTCACGAATCACACGCCTGAAGCTCCACGTTGTGAGGGGCGTCTACAACTGCGGGCGCGCCTCTGCAGCGCCCCCGACCGTCGCCGGAGACCTGTGTCCAGGGGGGGGGCGCTGTCGAGCGCCTGTCCGGCCCCCGCGCACTGCTGCCCCAGGGCGCCGATGAGAGCAAGGAGCCGACGGGGCGTCCGCCTGCACTGTCGCACTGCCAGACCTGTCCGCTGAACTTCGCGCCTGCCAGGATTGCCAGGGTACGACGAAACACATCGCGTCAGCCAAGGCCGCCAGGGTAACGACTGACGGTCGCATTAACGGCGTGTACCGGAGAGCACCGAGCAGAGCCACCCTCTCCCGCACGCCTACGGTCGCACTTCGTGCAGCTCGTCTCGATCACGCCCACGCCGCTGCTCAATGTCATCGCGGAGCCCACCCTGGAGGCGGCCGTGGACGACGTGCTGCTCGAGGCCGCACTGGTCGCGGCCGCGCTGCCCGAGAACGCGCCACAGGTCGCCTGAGATGCACTGCGAGGCAAAGAAGCACTGGAAGCCAAGGTGATGGAAGATGCAGTTGTGCTATTGGCCACGCGCAAGCTGGTCGTCATGCCGACGGTCGAAGAAGTACTCGTCACGGCCAGCGTGGTCTGAAAGACTTGACGAACGTCAGCTTCGCGCCACTGCTCAACATGACGTTGGCCAGACGGGGTTGCTCGACTGTGTCGCACTCGAAATCGCACTGCTCGACGAAGCGCTGCCAGACTCGACGGCGCCCATGCTGGAGCCCATGTCGACGTGGAGCACACCGTGGAAGTGGCCAAGGACGTTGCACTGCTCGAGAACGTACTGGTTGCGACCATGCTGCTCGAGGTCGCACTGTTGATCACCTGAGAAACTGCAAGACGGAGATACACTGGAAGTCAAGCTGCGGACATTGCAGTTGTGCTGCTGGCCACGCTCGAGCTAGCCGACGTGCCGGCGGTGCCGCTCATACGAGCAATCGAAGAACGCGCCACGGTCACCCTGGCATTGACTGACCCTGACGTATCCGTTTGCGACGTGAGCCGCTGGCCGCCGTAGTGCTGGCTGGCGTGGTGCTGCTCGACTGTGTCGCGCTCGGAATCGTGCTACACGAC